TCTACTTCTAAAAGTTTAGCCAATTTTTATTTTTGCCGGCCAAAAAAATTTTTATTTTGTTTTAGAAGATCTTAAAATTAAAAAAGAATCCCCATTATAAATTATATGAAATGGATATATATCACAGTTAACATTTGATATAATTAAATATTTAAAATCAATTTATTAAGAAGATATTAGTGATTTTTAAAGAAGTCCGATTTAAAATGGAAGATAACAGCCACCTAAAGATTTGGCTCATAGGTGACAGAAAATATGTCAACACTATTTTTGCATAAAAAAGAAGGTTGGCTTCACTTTTTATCCGTGAAGTGTTTTCATCTATATTTAAGATTACTTATAATTTGATACGATGATTAGTTCTTTCCAAAAAAGCTTGCGACCACCACCCCCCCCCCCCCCCAATCCTATAATAAATTTGAATTTATTATCACACCTATGAATTCTAGTGTCGTAAAACGGCTTTTGAGCCGATTTTTTTAAAAAACGACTAACTCTATATTTCGTCTAGAATAATATTACGGAAGTCTGAAGATTTTTGTTTGTAAGAAGGAAACTAAGGTTTGGACAACTATTAGTGGAATCTCTAGAGGCTTAGCACAATATTTTTTCTGGCTAAAATAATGAGTTACTAACAACACTACCTGAATTCTCTCGGTATTATCTTAATTTTTTTTAAAAAAAATCGTATTTATAATATATAGTGTGGTTAAATTACTAACTTTATTCAACTATAAAGCAAGCGTAGCCATGATTTTATTCAAAAAATATTCTAATCAATCTTCAAGTCGAGACTCAACTTAGAAACCTCATTCTATTTTTTTGACTCAGCCACGATAGAGATGGGTCAAAGTTAGTTAATTTAACAACACTAATAATATTACAAATAGTAAATAAACACGATAATTAATTTATATGTTATTTGTAATTTAATTTGTAAATTAACAGATGAATATTAAAATATTATTTAAAAAAAAAATTATTTATAGATCGCACTAGCGAGACAACCCGTTGCAGTGCCATTAAAATTAATACGAGCATTATTCCAGAAATATAGCTAAGATAATTCAATCAAAGTATCATGATTTATATAGAATATGGAAAAAAAATTATATTCCCTAAATGATTCCTTAAAAAACGATTCATAATTCCCGGGTTTTTCCAAAACTGTAACAAATTATTGGTACAATTATTTCCAACATATATGTATTTTTTTAAATTTACAAAAAAAAAATAAATAGAAAGTGAGCCAAAAATTTTTTAAAAATGTTATTATATTTTATCTCGCAAGATGGCGTTATATATATATTTTTTTTAAAAAAATTCAAATTTTTACTCAGTTTCTTTTGTTTTTGTAAATGAATGAGTAATTTATTTTTAGATTTTAAATATATATATAACTATCCTAATTTACAAAATTATGCGATGAGCGTTACCAGAATATCTAATAGTTTGACAAACGATTTTTGTGATGACAGTTTTCTCTATAAAATGACATTCATAATGATTGACTAATCTGATAAATGTTTACACGCCATTTGTCTAAGTCAAGAACGATTCATTTTTTTTAAAAAATTTGAAGATTCAAATCTTTAAAATGAATCCTAATTCTCCGACCCCGGCAATATTAAGCCGCGTGATATATCCGTCCAATTCCAATCACAGTTAAATCGGGGTTTGAATATTTTTCTTTGTAAAAGCTGTTCGGGTTCCTGAATATTTCATAAGAGTGGATTAGGGCTTTTTTTCAGAAAGAACCTTTCGAAGTCCAGTTCTTATAATGAAATCGTCTTTAGAGACTATTTGAATTGATTTTATTTCGTATTATCTTATAAAATTTCAATATTAAAAAAAATACTATTATATTTTAACATTTTCACGAAGAATAAATGTTTTTTGGGGGTATCAAGCTTAGTAAAAGACTTCAAAATTTTATAACGCTAAACAAAAATAAAAAACATGTTTTTAACAAAGATATTTATTTTCTATTTTTTATAAAAAAAACGATAAAAGTATATTTTTATATTTGTAAAGTTTTTGAAAATATATTATTTTTGGTTTTAACAGCACCCAGCTCTGATGGATATATCCCGAGGGATAAAGACATAAGTACTATGGCTATCATTATCTCCTTTCATGGCAATCACGATTCGATAGAAATTAATGAGAGGAAGAAAAAGCCAAAATAATGCATCAGTCTAGTGTTGTTTATTATATTCGCGTAAATCATTTGAATATCAATTATATTTTTATATAATTAGTTAGTTGGTGATTTAGTATCGATGATTGTTAAGTATTAATTTGGATATGCGGTCTAGGAATTTATTTTTTTACGAACTTAAATATTTTTGTAATTTTCATCATTTTTTATGAATACATGTACTTGTAATTTTTTTTGCATATTAAAAAAATGTATGTAAACGAAAAAATTTTAAAATAAAAGTTAGTTATCTGGTTTTATAATTTGAAGAAAATCAGTGTTGGTGTGAAAAATTCGAGATATAAAATTTGGTTTAGTAAATAGGAGTCGTAAGGTTTATTAACAGAATTATTTAATTTTTTTTTAATAATACTAGGTTCCATTGGTCTTTCCAACGAGCCTTCGACAATTTCATTAAAATTTAATAAGGAATTGTAACATTAAACGACTAGTTTTGAATAACATTACTACGCAAGCTTGAAGATTTTGTTTGTAGAAGGAACAAAGGTTGCTAAAATATTAAGTTAGCCGTTAAAAAAACAACACTACATCTGTCGATATACATATTGAATCTCATGAGTTTTACCAACTTTAGATTCCTTTGGAAAAGATGCTAAATCTAAAATTGAAAAATGACTTGTAAATTAGTTCTTCTTTAATTTTTTAAATATATGTAAAGAATTTCTGGCCATCGCAATATAACAATTCCATTCCACGAACTTTTAATTTTAATATAATTTAGATTATTCCATATAAATTATAAATGGCTCAAAAGTTAACGGGAAAATTGTATACAATTCATAAGATAGGTATTTAAAACATGATAGAATATATTTCCTGGAAAATCCGATTTTTAAATTTAAAAAAGCAACTTAAAGTTGTAAAAATAACATATTGACGCTAACATACAGTGGCGGGTGGTTTTCGGATTTGGACCCCTCCCAGAGCAAAATTTTTTTTAAAGATTATACGTTCAAGAGAATTAAAAGTGACTTTATATCAAATAAAATTGATATTTATATTTTTCTGGTTTTGATGTTTGTCGAAGGATATTATATTACTATTGAATTATAAAGTCATTGAGAATAATCTACTAAACTATAATAACATATTATTGATGCATTAAAAAAATATAATTATTATATATTATAGAAGATATGGTTATGATTTGTAAGATTAACCCGGCCATAGACCGGGCAAAAGGGCCGAAGGTCCGTTAAAGCCCCCCAGGCTTTTATATGTATGGACCCCCTGTAAGGAAAATTCCTAGCTAACATTGTTAACATATATATTTTTTAAAATGCTAATTTAATTATATTTTTAATATTTTTTTAAAACCTTTATAAATTTCTTATATATAATCAAAAGCAAATAAATGTTTGAAACATTTAAATTATTAAGTTTTTTTTGTTTTACGATGACTATCATACGCTCGGATCTTTCAATTCCTTTATTTATACATCAGTGGTGAATTATTGTTGTTAAATGGCTGGGTTTTGAGCCACACTTTTAAAAAGATTTAGGAAGAAAAATATTGCCTAAGTCTCATGATTTTGATGACATATGTCTAGACCCTTTGTTCTTCTATGAACAAAATCTCCAGAGTTGGGCAATATTTTTCATGATGAAATATTGAGTCAATCCGTATAATATCCGCTAGTTGCTAAAGGTGCCCTTTAAAAGGTCTTGCAAATGGTGAGATTTTCCAAGCCCGGTACGGTTCCAATTTTTCTTATCAAAGTTGCTAAATCCTCCATTTTTTTATAATATCCTAAAGTATACACCACCGAAAAAAATAAACCAATCTTATTACGGCAATAAACACGAAATTAATGCTTAGGGGAAAAAGAAATCTCGGAGTAGTGTTGTTAAAAGATCTTTTTATAACATTTTTTTAAAAACCTGCTAAACTGGATATTTTAGCCAGAAAATATTGCCTAAGCCTCCTCTATCGCTAACAGATGACCAAAATTTTGTGCCATTCAATGACCAAAATCTTAAGGATTTCGTAATATTTTTCCTGGATAAAATAATGATATAAGCCGTTTTTAAAAATGGGCTCAATTTAAGCCCATTTAATATACACTATCCCAAGAGTAACAGTCATTTAATTTAAAAATTATTAAACAATATAAAATATATTCATGTTCTATATTAAGCATGCCAAACTTTTATTCCGGCCCACGCCTAATAAATTTTTTTCAAGATTTTACGCGACCCAACCCAAGGCGGTGGGGATAGATCTTTTACTACCTCTAGAAAAAAACACAAATTAATCGATCATGTCAAATAATCCAAATTTCTTATTTTTAATATTCTTGTTCTTCTCGAATCATTATAATCAGTTACGCAAAGTGTGCCGATACTTAGCAATCGAAATTTTATTTACCCTTTAACTTCTTTCTATCTTCTTCCTCTTAAAATATAATATAATAATAACGCGAAATTTCGTAAATCATTGATATATATATATATAATATGTAATAATTTTTTATAAATCTATAAAAAATTTCAAAAATAATTTAAAAAAAATGAAATTATAATATATTTTTCTTAAAATATATATTAAATTTTTTTAATTTATATTTTGAAAAAAAAATAAAAAATAAAATTACAAAGAAAAACGTAATAGGGTACAAATAAAGTTTCCACTTTTTATAATAAAATTTTATAAATACAAATTATAAACATGAGACATACTACAATTTTAACACTGACATTGAGTTTCTGTCGAAACAGGAAAAAAGAGATACCAAGGCAAATTATAATATAAGACAAAGTAATAATATAAAAAAAATAATTATTTTTTGATTTCTTTTTTTGGAGTGGGAAGTTTTAAAATTAAACTTTTTTGGGGTTGGGTCGCAGTGTCGTTAAAAAGCCCGTAGAGGGGTCGATTAAGATTATAACCAAAATAACATTTATGTAAAGCCTAGAGTAGCGATTTTGCGCGTAGCTGGCAGAAATTCTCCGATACATCTATCGCCAAATTCACGAATGCTTAACATAAATATTTATTACGGCTAAAATCCGCACCCAAATAAGGGCATTTTGAACAACACTAGAGTTGGGTGAGCTATCCTATCATTACCGCCAGATAAAATGATAGGAATCAGAGTGGGAAAAAATAGAATCAAAAAATTTTAACAGAAAATATGAAAATTTTTTATTATTTAAATTTCTTATAAATTTTTTTTTGAGAGGATAAATAAGATTAATAATGAGAGAGAGAGAAAAAAAACGAATTAAAAAAATATATATCAATATTCCTAGTTGTTGAGGGAAATGGAAAGGCTTAGAATATTTAGCACAAACGAGTGAAAACCAATGAAAAAAGTCACGTGTTTATAGTGTCACCCTCGCCCCCCCCCCAAAAAAAAATTTTTTTTTAAAGTAAATCGTATTTTTTTTTATAGAAAAGCACAAAAAAACCAAATCGTAAACAAATAAAATAAGGAAGAAAATAAAATATGCAAAAAAATATTATTCCAATTATCCCCAAAATTTATTTGTGTTAATTTCGGTCAGATGTTTTCCGGTCGTCAGCAGATGGGCGTTCTCGTAATCGGTAATCAATAAGGGGGATATTCGTCCTCTCCGTTGCTGTTAGAGCTGTGCAAACTGCTGTTGGTGCCGTAATTGCTGATATCGATGGAAGTCTGATGGTGATGATTGCCGTTGTCGATGCCGTTGGTTTTGGTGGGGAGAATTCCGGGAAATATTCCAGGGATGTTCGGGGTGTCGAGGGTGTACGTGGGTTGTTCGAGGGCTTCTTGCGCCCGAGGGCTGCCTATGAAGTCAGACTTGGCCTTGCCCCGGTAATTGGCTATAATATCCTAAGCGGGTAAGACGCCAAAAACGAATATATATATAATGTAATGTAATGAATTTATTCGAATAAGAAGGAAAAAATAAAGGGGAATATTTAAGCTATCGGAGCGTTAAAGGATTTGAGTTTTCCGAGAGAAATTGCGTGATCCACGCCGGATCGGATTGATTGTCCGTTAAATCTTACCCGACATCCGTGCCCGATATTAACACAAAATTCTCATTTGGTGCCCTCTGGCTTGTAAATCGTTAAAAAACTTTAAAATGGTTAAGATTCAAGGTATAGGAATGAACTAATATGAATTTAAATAAATAAGTATGCAAAAAAAATTTATGTATTTCGTATTTATTATTTGATAAAATCGATATAACTAATGGTAGAAGTTGAAAGGTTATTTAAAAGTAGTACAAAAATAAATAAATGAAAAATACTATTTATAAATACGATAAATTATGAAATTTTGATAACGACTTAATAATTAAATTTGGTTTACCATTTACGATCCGTTTTCGAAGTTGAATAAAGGGTAGGTGATTCAACGACACTAAGAAAAAAAAGGTGTCATCGAGAACTTAGAAAACAGCCGAACAGAGGAATGTCGAGAATAATAGCGGAAAAAAATAATTGCTCAGCCCAAACATTTAAGAAAGAGTGGTATAACAGCTGATTAAGAATAATGGAGCTAATATATTGTTTAAGCATAGAAAATTTTCCAAGTATGGAATTCTTGTACCAATTCGTTCATAAGGGGCTCATTGAAGATTTTTGCTAGATGACTTATATTTTATATATCCTTCCGTTTTCATTTCATTTTTTTAAAATATTTACTAATTGAACATAGTCATTCACTCGGCACGTAATTTGCTATTGTCAACATATTTTGACACAAAATCATTTATTTGAATTTGACTGGTCAAATATCAGTCAAATGACCGAATTGTGACTGGTCAAATACAAAACCCATCATGCAAAGAGGGTGCCTAGCCAATAATGAAAAAACAAATGGCGGTAGTGGCACAAAAATGGCGGGGGAGATGATCGAGCGTAATAAATGGAGAATAAAAGATGCGAAACTTAAATTTTAAAAAAAGTGGGGTTTGCCAAATTGAATCATTTCTCGGTTTTTCTGGGTTTGAAGTGATATTGATATATCTCATTATAATAATAATAATACCTGATCAGCTGGACACGTCTCCTTGAAAGCGTCGAGTTGGTACATGTTAGCTATATAGGTCCACAAGTAACTCAGGGCGTGAGGAATTTCGAACTTTTTGTAGGCTCGGCCGGCTACCCGTATATGCTGCAGCTTGGGCATCAGTTCACAATCGTATATAGATAGTTGGTCGCCACATAGGTAATTGGTCATCTTTCGGGGAATGATTATTTACAAAAAATTAACATGTCTAATTTCTCTGACAGCTATCAATCATTCTTTTGATTGAAATAAAGCTTATGAGAGTAAAAATATTTTTGTTTAGGGAGGGGTGCTTACATATTTACCTAGTGTTAGCAAGAAAGAAAGAAAAAATTTTCAATATTTGTTTTGAATCGCTAAAATGAAAAATAATATATATTTTGTATTCTTAAGAGGCGATCGCTTTCGCGGAAGCGGACAGACCTCTCGATCTTTCGCATCCGACGCCGCTCCAAACCCGAATCGAATATCCGGTATATCTTAAGCATGCGTTGTTACACCCTCACTCCTCCCCCTTACAGCTATCAATTAGTATCGTTAAAAAAATCGATACGCTTATTTTCAATTTTTTACAGTTACTTGATGAGCCAAGTGATTGTTGATTGTTTGAAGTTCGTAAAGGAGAGATTTTTCGGCCCGTTGTTCGCTCTCTTCGTTGGTAGCAGCTAGGAAATGGTTGAATTTCTATGATTGACATGTATACGAAAATACGAGTGACATTATAACAAACACGCTATATAAGATCGAGAAAATTTTTTTTAGGATAGGTTTGGGAAATACGGAATTAAATATATGTTCGGGGATTGAGCGGAGAGGGGGAAAACGCTTTCCTTCGACAGTTGGATCGGGCTAAGCCGTAAAAAACTCCCTAGATGGTCTCAGGTTCCGCAAATGACAAATTTTTCAGGCCCGCCAGGCCCCAAATTTAACTTAAGCCCGACCCGGTTATCCATCGATCCCGTAATCCGATGAATAGTGAGCATAAATTGAACGTTTCAACGGCGATTCAAAACGCAAATAAAAAAACACCGTTATATGAAACGTCTAAATTTAAAAACCAAAAAAAAAAAATGCTGGTCCAATTTGAGGGAATGCACTTCGAAACGCATTATTCGCGTTTTAAAACGCTGCGTTAAAAACGCTCAATTTTATCTGCGCTATAACGTCGCGTCTCAGTTAAAACTTCTAAAAACGGAGATATTATACATACAAAAATAATCATTTTTAATTAAAAAAAAATTAATAATAATTACAACACGACAAAAAGAAAAATATATTTTTACGATTATCATAATATTAGAAATTAGTTAAATTAAATTATAAATGGTGGGAATATAAAAGAACTCAAAAATAAATCTTTTTATATTTAAAAATCAAATTTCATTTTTGACAAAAATGAAAATAAATGGATAACAAGTCGGATACTATTTTATTGTTTCAGGAAGTTAAAATAATAATATAAAAAACTGATTTCAAGGTTATAAAATATTTTTTTTGTTCAAAATCCCATTAAAAAATTATAAATTTTATAATCGTATTATTTTGATATTTTTGGAAAGCAATTAGATGAGTAATAATCATTATTATTACTTTATCTAATATAGATATTTTGTTTTTTTAAAAAGAGTGTTTCGTAAATACGATCTTGCCCCGGCTAAATTTTTGGTCATTTTTTAATCAAGAAAAATAAATATTTTTTTTTCTTTCTTTCCTTCTTTAATCGTTGAATCATTTTTTTTTCAAAAAAATCCGCTAATATAAGTTCGTAACGGCCTTTTAGTGAAAGGAACTTATGTATATTAAAAAAAACAGCTGATTAGGGATCTAATTAACGCTCTTGGGATAAGACAATAACGTAATCGATTTCGTATCGGGATCGAAAAACAAGATAGCAGGTATGTTCTTGACTTTCGCGTTAAAGTAGACATCGGATTATATTTATAGTTTTTATCGGAGACTTGCAGAGGTACCATTTGTAAGGCCCGACCCGTATTTTTAAAAAAAAAATTTCCGGCCTCCGGGTTTTTTTCCGGCCCGAATTTTATTAAAATATATTTTATTTATTTTTGATTTTCACAGCTGATTTCAAATATTTAGTTTTTAAAATAAACGATCCGACCCGGTCCGGATATTTGTTAAAAAAATTAAAATACGGCCCGGGCCGGGTACCCGGGCCGGCAGGTCTCTGGTTTATTTTATTTTTTTTGTGATTTATAAAAAAAAAAAGAGAAGTCCTCCAAATTAAAGATGACACTTTTTTTTAATTCTTCATCCGCGACAACAATCTAAATTGATCACCTAAATATATAGACAACAAAAAAATGGATCCACAATAAACAAAGCGTGTATCTAACTACAGATACTTTTATAAGATTGTATCTGGATATGGGTATAACAGAGACATAGATTACTTTTAGCCATTTTATTTAAAAGATAATTTTTTATTTTTATAAAACTTAATAAAAAAAGTTTCAAAAATTTTGAACCCAAGGGGAAAATGTGATCTTTTTCATTTTTCTTTTTGAGAAAATAGCTTTTAATTTTAAATATAATATTTAAGCGAAATAGAAATATTTTGTATTATAATATTCAGGATGGCTCGATAATTTGAGATATAAAATAAAATACACTTTTTTTTTTAAAAAAAAAACAGCTGATAATATCATCGGAGACCTGTAGCGAGCGGTGCCATTTGCGCGGCCAGACCCGGATTTTATTTAAAAAAATTTTGGCCCGGACCGGGTTTTATATTTTTAGGCGTGTACATGGGCCGCAGATTTCCGAATATCATTTTGGCGTACGTTATAGATACAACGGACAGATACATAAGCTCACTTTCAATTTTAATCGATACCGGTGGTCGAAACCTACCTACCCCCCCCCCCCCCATTCCTAAAAAAAGAAGATAATTATTACCCTCGTATAAATAAAATGATAAATATTTGACGTATCAAATTTTTATTAGCAGGCTGGCAGGCCTAATCCAAAAAAAACGAACCCTTTTTTTAATGAATTATTTGTACTCAATTCTTAATCGAATAATTACCAAAAATATACTATTCCTACTCTAAATTGGTACTATTAATAGCAAATTATGCTATTCGTTTTCCCATTTTTTTTGGTAACAATTGGGTATATGCCAAAAAAAGGTTGTATCAGCGTACTCTTCCGCTAAAACCCGCCATTCCAGTGAATAGCGGGGGCTTAACTAAGGATGGGGTGAGGATCCTCACTAATCTCAAAAATAGAATTTTCAAAAAAAAAAAATTTTTTTTACCGAGTAGACGTTTTCGATCTTCTTTTTGACATTGTCGCGGCTGGCGAACATCTCCGGATCCGGGAATTCCTCCCTCAGGTGATCTAGGATCCTCTCTTCCGGCATGGCCAGATCCTCGTTGAGAAGGATGGGCGGCTGGCTGTGGGTGAGCTCTTTGATTTCCTTAGGGTACTGTTTCATGTTGACCGTGGTCACGGTGAGGGCGAGCTCGTTGCTTTTGCTCTTCTGGTAAAGGACCATGAACCATTTGTGGCAGAATATGCAGGCACCGTTGCGGACCCCGTCTATGTTAGATGCCTAAAAAGTAACGAATGAGGAGAAGGAAGGAGATATAATATTGATGATATACAGATACATTAGGTATTTAAGTCGGATAGTATAGGTTAGTTCGATATCGATATTGTAGAATTAGATGGTAAATAAATGAACATTATCATTTGAATAGGGTTTTTTTTAAATCAATTTGGCATATAAAATTAACATTCACAAAGTTTGGGCTATATAATAAAGCCGGAATTGTGAATAAAGTTATTTTCTTAATTCAAGATATCACTGGTTCAATTTCTATTACATTTTTAAATAGTAATCAATGACATATGAAAGAGTCGTTGAATACAAATCAGCTGGAGCCGCCATTTTGGTAACCCATATAATTACAATTTCTATTTACTTTTTAAGTCGTAATCAATGACATATAATAATACATAGACTGACGGGTGTATTTCATATTAATGCACTTAAAAGTGTCGTTGAATGCAAATCAGCTGGAGCCGCCATTTTGGTAACCCATATAGTAATTATTCTCACGTTAAAAACTACTATTTAAATAACTTGCTTACTCATTATCTCGATGATCAGGCGACTCTTTATTAAAGTTTGCGTCAGGCATAGGAAATAAATTGGCCTCTCGTTGAAAATATTTTTTAATAATGATCACGGGTAACCAAAATGGCGTTCCCAGCTGTTTTTCATCGATGTTACACTTTTTAATGAATGCGGCGTCAGTTGTGGTATTATTATATGTCATAGGTCGTAATATAACACAGATTTTTAAAAAAAAACGAAAAGAAAATATAAAAGATATTTTACCAAAAAATAGCGAATCAAAATAAATGCAATAAATTAGGATTAGATAAAATTTTTCCAGAAAAATGATAATTTTTTACTGTATAGGAAGAGGAGTTGGCTAAAAGGAAATGCTAAAAAGATTGGCAAAAGCTTTGGGTGAAAAGAGCTTCAAACTTATTTATCGGATTATCCAAATTAAATAAGGATTTCTTTATAATGGGTGCAAAAACCAACGCACGCCTCTTTCTTCTTTTCTTTTCTCTAGCAAGAATGACCGGAAATTATTTACCTACACTAGGCACAACGGTGCCACGTACAGGTGACCTGATAAGCAAAAAAAAAGTATCTCCAATGGCGCAATGATTGATGAAGCTACTAAATTCGTTGACGAAGGAATGGATTAAATCAGCACTTAGATTCACAACGCGTCGGGTTACATCGCGTGCGTTAGAAGGTGTCCAATCATAAAATTGGGGCTAGAAAGCGTCAGATTTTAAGTTTACGTTTCGGACAATGTCTTCGATGAAATCAGTCATATAAAAACGCTCCGCCCTTGAGGACTCTTCCGTCACGAAAACATAAAAGGCCGTAGCGGGACGCCTTTCTCATTCGTTAATCGATAGAGAGAGAGCGGCCAATAAATGATTTGAATTTACGATTCTTATAATTTTTTCCTCGAGGATATGCGTATAAGGTAATTCATAATTTTAAAAAGTTTTTTTTTTATAAATCCACTAGGTAACCAGATTTTATATATTAAAAAAATCATATTTCGCTTTTAAATAACCATTCTATTTCGCATTTTATTAATAGTGATTTTTTTTTGGCTTATTTCAAATCTCGAGCGTTAGGAAAGTAAATCACGTGATAATTTACGAGGGTGCGACTTTTCCATTTTTCCCCGTATTTTTTTTTAAGTTCCCGAGGGAAGGCGAAACTAAAAAATATTCCCGCTTCAAATGGGAATTTTAAAAAGGATTAAAAAAATTTCCCCCGGACTTTCCTTCGTTCCTTCCACATTCGCTTTCCCGAAGGGAGGAGAAGGAAGATCAATATTCCTCGAACAGAAGAAGGAAAATACAAATTTTAATAATCCCGAAATTTAAATGTCCCCTCTCAAGGTTAAACGAGAGCCACTTTTTATTTTTTATCGATTCTTCGCACTTAACTGCTACGTTTAATAAATCGAAATCAAAGAATGGAAGTCAAAACCTCAAAAAAAACACCTAACAAGCAAAAAAAATAAAATTAAAAAATAAATTCAAAAAAGACGGAGAACGGAGAATAAACTCCTTTCATTATTATTTTCAATCTTTTCTTCCTTATGTTATTAATTTAACGTGTAATTAAAAATAATATAAAATATAACTTTTATATATTTTACTACATTTTACAATTACAATTCTCATTATATTATATTTTTAAAAATGTAAAATTTTCTTTACATTTTACAGGTGTATTTTGTTTTGTTTTGTAATTTAATTTTATAAAATTAAAAACATAAAATTAAAAACATATGGTATGGGATATTTGGAAAGAAGTAAAAAAAAAAAAAGGAAAAGATTTTGTAAATTCACTCATTTTTATATATTAAACGCGGATAACCCATATAATAGATAAACCCTTGTTTTGTTTTTTGATTTGCTGTGTGTTAGATAGAAAAAAATATGAGAAGAAAATTTAAAAAGTTTTTTTGTTTCTATTCAACAATGACATATAATAATAATAATAATACATACCTAGATTGACGATGCGATGAAAAACAGCTGGGGACGCCATTTTGATTACCCCGTAAATAGTTATTAAAAAGATTTTAAACGAGAGGCCAATTTATTTCCTATGCTGGACGAACTTTATTAAAGTCACCTGATCATGAAGATGATTAAGGAAGCAAGTTATGATTACTATATGGGTTACCAAAATGGCGTGTACAGCTGATTTGCATTCAACGACTCTATCAAAATGAAACATCAATCTATATTATATGTCATTGGTTTTATTAAAATCTGATTTTTAAAAAATTATTCTTTTTTCGGTCAAATCCCCGAAATACTTCTATTCCTTTCATTTTGGCTTAAGATCTGTGCCAAATAATTCGTAATCGTTCTTCTTCTTTTTTTAATTATGCGATGGCACAGAATGTAGAGGAATATATCTATTCGAAAACGTGATTGACGGGTGGGTCAGTTGTGGACAAGGTTGGTCCGATATTTAATTCAATCCATTTTTTAACGTTATCGAACAAATACTTCTTAAGAAAAAAAAAATAACATTCCAAACATTCAGCGGGTCAGCTGGGTTTAGCGGACAAAAGTAGAACGCACCCCCCTCTCCGCCCTAATTCACGTTGATAACTTCGAGTTTATTACGTCGCGTTACACGTGCGAGCTTGTACCTTAATTTGGCTTCGGCGATTTTCTATTACCGCCCCATATTAAAGAATAGCGGTGGAAATCTGCTAAATCGGGGACGTCTAGGGGTATTTAAGGTAAAACTTACATCATATATTATTATTTTTCTAAAAAATAGGTTAGTAAGTAACTACCTAACATGTTTACCGATATAATTCCTTTCAGCTATTCTTTATCCTTCCTAATCCGATATTAACGCGTGAAAGAGTCATTTTTTAGTTTAATCGAATTAGAAGGTTACACATTAAACTTTTATATTAAATATCGATTTTTTAAAAATTTCCCATTAGCTTTTCAAATGCCATTAGTTTTAGTTATCAACTTTTTTAAATATATAAAAATGAAAGTAATCATTTCCGCCGTTTTAATTCGGGTTGGGGAATTTTTAAACTCTATTTAGCGGAAGTCGAAACCGATTTTCTAAGAGGAGCCCGAACCCGCCCCGGGTCAGTATTACCCCGAATTCGGTGGGTCGCACATAAATAGGTCTCATAGGTCTCCGTTTGGTTTATTAGCAAATAGCCCGAAAAGGGTTAAAGAATTCCAAATATTTAGCGTAGATTTATAAAAATGATCTTCCAAAGATTTTAATCACCGAAGATTCCTTAAATGAAGATTATTTTTTTTTAAGAATGCTTCGAACAAGTTCCTTTTTATTTTGATAAAATTTTACTTAAATTTAAAAAACTTTTCATGTTAAAAAATAAATTATAGGTAATTTTTATGCATAAAACCTTTTTCGATGTTAAAAAAAAATGATTTAGATCTTCTTACAAAATAACTAGGATTCTCCCGCTCAAAATTTTAGGCACAAAAAAAAAATTGATTTTGATCCAAAACTTTGATTAATCTATAATTTCCCAACTTAATAATATAATAAAGAAAATTATGTCTTTCAAGACAATGCATTTTATATTTATATCAATTTATTCTATGTTTCAAAACATCAAAAAAAATTTTTTTTTAGCAAACCTTCAAAACTTTTAATGAAAGATAAATAATTGTCTCTTTATATTATCAATTTTAAGGTCTATTATCAATTATTCTATGTTCAAAACATCAAAAAAAAAATTTTTCCGCAAACTTTCAAAATTTCTTCGATAAAAGATAACTAAATTCTCTTCAAGAGACATTATCAATTTTAGGTCTGTATCAATAATTATTCAGTGTCCAAAAACATCAAAAAACACGATCTTTTCAAAATTTTCGATGAAAAAATATATCTACTTGTTTTTTAGGTACATTATTAAATTAATCTCTTTTTAGAGCCATGTTTTAATTAGTAATTTTATATATTTTTACATATTTTTATATAGTTGTCTTTTAATATTTTAGTGTTTTATCATTTTTTTAAAATTATTACCAATATCAATATTATCAAAATAAATTTTAAATTAAAATAAGTTTTATTATTAAAAAAAATAAATCTTGTCCAGAAAACATTAATTCTAAGTTAAAAAAAATTTTAATTCAAAAAAAATATCTTGTATCTGTATCTGAAATACTTTTTTTTTGAAGAAAATAAAAAAATAATCTAACGGTTAAAATTAAAATTCTTAATATTTATAATTTTACATAAAATATAATTATATCTTAATTCAGAATTTTAAAATAAATATAATATTTTTTGAAGTAACTGTTAAAAATTCTTAATATTTATAATTTTTACATAAAATACAATTATATTTTTTTAAATATAAAATAGAATAAGATCACGGAGAAAATTGATTCTAAGAAGAAAAAAAATCCGAATTCAGGGAAAAATATTTTGTAACTTATCTCAAATACTTTTTCTAAAAAAAATATAATATTTTTTGA